AAGGAGAGCAGGACGGAGGAGCCCTCGGCCACCACGATCAGCCACGTGCACTCTGTCTCATAGGGGTATGGCCCTGGGAAGTTGGGGCTGGAGAAATTGCCAGAGGATGCTGAGAGCACCCCCCCACATTTGATGCCTGGGGGACACAGAGGTGGATGTGATGTTCCCCTCCCAGGGGAAGCCTAAAAGGATGGAGACGGGGTGCACAGCACTGGCTCCATCCCACCACTGACACTACTGAAACACCAGCACCCTGCAGACCCCCACTGGGCTCGGCCACTCCTCCCCGCAGGACATGTGTGCCCCCCATCACCTTTGACCCCTCCATGTAGCCCCCTTCTCTGCTGTCCCTGTGCTGCCCCGTGTTTTGGGCCGCGCCCCCCCCCGCGTGTTTCCCCTGCCAGTGACGCGGCACGGCATCCCCATCCATTTCTTGCTGGGAAAAAGAAAGTAGGCAGTGAGTTTTAATCATTCAGTGGTTCCAGCCTCGCCGGTGCCCTGGCTGCCCAGCCCTTCAGCTTTGTGCCTCCTGCTGCTGATGCTCCCTCCATATAATGGTAGTATTGGTGAATTCAAGCTGGGAGAAACAGGGGTGAAGGGCTCGATGCACTTAACAATGAGTTATGCATGTAGGGATCGATTTTCTAATGAAATCTTTATACCGAGACACGGTTATTATAAAATAAGGCAGAGGGGGGGGCAGCTGCCACCTGCCCCTGGGTCTGATTAGGCTTGGGGTGAGGAGGCTGATATAGCGGGCACATACATCATGTCTGGGAGGGATGCAGACCCTGTGTAGCCCCCGGGAGACATGTGCGGGTTCCCAAGCAAGGCTGGGCACTCGCTGCCATCAATCTGGGCCAAGTATATTGCAAATCAATAGTCAGCCAGTGCGCACTGCTTTTCATCACGCTCGCTGGTGTGGTGACCTCCCGGCGAAGGGTGGGGGGGGTCCTGCGGATGTGTGTGATGCAGCACCACGGCAAATGGGTAAGGGAGGTGTGTGTACGTGCGTGTGTGTTGGCACAAGCCGCAAAGCTGGCCAGATCTACAATCACCTTACTAATGACTGGAGATAGGCAATAAAGTAATATGGGGCTGATACTAAAGGAATAATGTTATTGAAGGAAATAATCAAGAGGGGAGCCTGCAGGAGGGGCAAGGAGCCATGGGGCAGGCAGATTGACGGATTAAGGGTTGGGTGCCTTGAGGTGCTCTGGGAAGCCCAGGTGGGTGCAGGCAGGGGGGTGAGCAGGCAGCACCAGGCAGCAGGGCAACCGCTTGCCCCTCAGGAGCACCTGCACTGGGGCCAGTATGGGTTTTGATTTCTGATGCAGTCCTTTTGTGAGAAAGGCCCTGCTGTTTTCGAGGAGGGGTATCGCTAGTTAGCCAAGTTACTGGGCTGACCTGGCCCACCCTGCCCCTCAAATTACTGTGTTGTCTGCTAACCCCTGCCCTGCGTCCTGGGAGGCCTTTTATCCAGGTAAGGTGAGGGGTTTATTACATGCACAGCAACATACACATGCATACGTACATTCACACATATATATATGTGTGCGTGTGTATATGTATATTTATATAGGCATGTGTAACTCCAGAAGTTAACAAAGGTTTCAGCAAAGCACCTGGACACCACAACAGGACAACCCTTACCTGCAGTCTCCAGTAAAATAAGCATGGAGCAGAAACTCAAGCGTGTGGCAGTGTCCTGCACTTGCTGCCATGCACAGCGACTGCAGATCCCAGCTTCTTTCCCCAGGCCTAGCTGGGGGGGCCCTGGCCTGAGCCAAGGCTGAGAGCTGGGACGTGCTTGCACCCCAGAGCCACTGCAGCACCTGCAAACACTCCTCTCCTCCCCGGGGACCATGGATGCCCATCGGCCCCACGGTCCCCACTGGGAGCTGGGACCAGGCTCTTACCTCTGCTGGGAGCATCCGCGAGAGCCCCGCACAGCACAGCCAGCACTGCCAAGCAGCCTGCCCCCATGTACCCCATCCTCTGGCAGGCAAATCTTCCCTCACCGGTGCCCGAGCATCCTTTTGGAGCTGTCTATCTGGGAGGGAAAAAAAAAAAATAAAGCAAAATAAATAAAAAGCGGGAGGACTGTAGAATTAATAGCAGAATGAATAATTCATCGCTTGTTTGAATTAGGAGCGGCAAGGTAACTTGATCTATTCCTCCCTTCCTTCACTCAGTTTTAATGATCTGGATCAAATGTCCCAAGGATTTACACTATACCAGATACCTTGTCAATACACTGTATTTAGAAGAGATATTAATGTTTCAGATATGGTGTATAACGGCAGTAAGTCTGGGCTGACAATATGCCCTTAAGGGGCTATGAAAATAATTTAGTTCGCCAGGCAAGCCAGCGAACCAAAATGGGAATTTCAGACTTACCGCGGAAAAGCACCTCAGGAATTAACGTGATTTATACTGCGGCACCCACTGCACAAAGCCAACCAGTGGCAAAGGCTGGAGAAACAGGGAATGGGACTTAAACACAGCCACGTCTCCACACCGGCTGCCAGGTCAGCATCCCTGCAGCGAGTGCCCAGGCTCAGCAGGATGCTCAGCCCAGGAAAGTGGCAGTTCACGAGCACTAAAGATAGTAAATCCCACCTCCCCCGAGGAAGATTAGAGATGAATTGTGACTCACGGGCAAAACCCATAGATTATTATAGAACCTGCTAAGGTCTTGGAGAATTACCAATGTTCTTCCATGCTGGCTCATGCTCCTTCTTGCCCAGGCTCTTGGATGCACTCGGCTGAAAGTAATCAAGCCTTTGTGTTCAGCGGGAAAGGTGTGCTCTTCGTGCTGTGCCACGTTAGCTGGAGAAACCTCAAACCCAGCAGCATTTCAGTTCCTTCCCTCCTGCCCAGGAGAGAAAAGACTTTCCTGCTGCCATGACCCACACCCAGATGAATGCCAGGAAACAAAAACCCAGGAGGGCCTCCCAGCACGAGGGACCTGTGCTAAAAAAGTCACCTTCAAAGCAGCAGGGAAAGAAGCAGCGCATATCTGTAAATCTCAGGCAGGGAGACAAGTTGCATTTATTAATTAAGCAATGAGGATCGATGCCTGAGACTTTTCCTGTGGATTAATGATGGGCTGGGAGGAGCTGATGGCCCGAGGTGCAGCTAAGGACCATTAACGCCAACTGGTCATTAATCCCCAGGAAATGCTCCACGCCAAGGTTGTTAAGTGCCTGCATATATTTATGGGTAATAATAACAATAATATTTGTCCAGGCTCTCTCCCCACTGCCCGGCCTCTCTGGAGCTGTGCCGAAGGCTAGTGGGAGCATTGGGGCATTCCAGCCAGGACCCCTCCTTCCTGAGTCCAGCTGAGGCGGGGGATATCAGGGTGTCTGTCCTGGGGCGTCAGGCACTGTGTCACCCCACGAGCACCAGGAGTAAGTGTTCATTCACACGAGGAGATGCAAGGCAGCCCTCCCTGTCCTGGGGTGCAGCGCAAAGCTCCCAAGCTCCTGCTCTGGGAGATGGCTGCGACGCTGGCACATCTCCTACCGACCTCTCAGGGACAATGCAGAGCTTAATTAGCTGCTTCCCTAAATGGGCTTGGAGAGGAGGTCTGTCCCTGGGCCTTGTCTGTCCCTCGCCAACACATGCAAGGCCAGCACCCACAGCAAAGAGGCAGGAGAGGTCTGGCATCACAGCCCGTGGTGCAGGGGCTGCTCCTGGGTATTTCCATAGCACAGCCCCAGCTCAGCCAGGAGCGCTCAGCCCTCCCTGCCACGATCCCCCGGGCTCGGGGACAACGTGCTCCCCAACTTCTCCATCACTGCACGACGGAGCAACACGTTCATCCTCACTGCATCCATCTCTGGCAGCACCCACTGTCCTCCACCCCTTCCACCGCCGGCCTCAGCACTGAGGCACCTCCCAGCATGGAGTCAGTGTCCGAGACACCGGTACCTGCGCGGCTGCTCTTCTCCATCCCTCCGGCTGCGCTCTGCTGTCCCGCTTCGTGCCACGCATCAGCGATACCCCCAGGAGACGGGGGGCTGGGGCTGTGCAGCACAGCAGCTGTGCCCCCCTCCCAGGAGACGGCATCCATCAACCGCTGGCACATTCACCCTCTCCTGACCTGGGGACGGCCATTCCTGGCTGGGCCTGAGCCCAGGCAAGGCGGCTTGCCGGCAGAGCCAGGCGGGAGGGCGGAGGGAGGCAGGGGGAGGACGAGATGCAGCAGGGAGCGGGCAGAGGAGCCAGGCAGGTCCTTCTGCACAGAGATCTGGCCAGAGGTGCTCTGGATCAGCCCAGGGTGCTCTGGCTCTGGCCAGAGACACAGTGGATGATTTCCAGGTGTGCCATATTGGGGCTGCCTCTATCCCTCTGTGGGCAAATTTATAAATCATGAGTCAAAAAGGCATTTGATTCAATTAAATAGAAAGGATGTGATCAGGACTGTGAGACTTCAGAGAAGATCAAAGGTTTAAATACGGTCCCCAGGAGAAATGGGAATTATTTAGGCAAGAAATAATGAGACAAAATTAAGAAGGTATTTAAGCTGCACATCAGGAAGAAGAAAGGAAGCAAAGTGAAGCCCCTCTCCCTGGCACAGTGCTGCACGGGCGGTGGGGGCTTCCCAGAGGAACAGCCAGAGCACCGGAGCATCCGGCCAGCACCCCCCTGCCCAACGGGAGAGGCAGGGCGGGGGCGGGGGGGCCGG